GGTTGCTGATGTGAGTTCTGATTCTGAAAATTCGGAATCTGAAAATTTTGTTGTTGATGATTCTGAAAATTAGGCGTGTAATTTGGCTGCTGCTGAAAACCTGGAGGATGTTGAAATTATTGTTTTGGCTGAAAATTATTGTTCTGATAAAAATTAGGAGGCTGATTATAATTCTTCTGTTTCTGGTATCCTCCGACAACTTTAACTGGAGCAACGTCCTCTTGCAAAATTAGACACATATCAGTAGGATGGTCCGTCTTCAAGCAGATTCCACATTGTTTTTTCGCAACGGCTTTTTCTTTCGTCAGGAGCAGAACAACTTTTGTCAATTCGGAAATCTGAGACTCCAGATGAGCATTGCTGACTTCTTTTACTCCTCTTGGCTGATTTGGATACCATTCATCTTCATTTCCGGAATGTTTTGACTCTATCGCCAGCTTTTCGATCATCTCTCGGATTTCGATTGGTGTCATATCTCCTAAGGAACCGCCACTAGAAGCATTTATCAGGCGCCTCTCCATGGATGTCAGACCTTCGTTGAAGCAATTGTAGAGCTGATAATCGTTGATCCCATGTTGTGGGCACCGAACCAGAAGTTTCTTGAATCTCTCTGAGTAAGTGTGTAAAGTTTCTCTTTTTTCCTTGTTTGATACAAAGGATTTCTCTTCTAAGACTGGAAACTCGCATTTATGGAAAATACTTCTTTAAAAACAACTTTGCAAGTTTTTTCCAAGTATTTATCGATCTGGATAGGAGCTCATACAACCATTTCCTTGATGAGTCTTGAACTGAAAATGGGAATTCCCTTAACTTTATTTGATCTTCAGTAACAGCATGCGACTTCATTCCTGCACAAACCACATGAAATTCCTTGAGGAATTTATGTGGGTCTTCATTTTCCAAACCTCTGAATGTGGGGAAAAGATGTATCAACCCAAATTTAAGTTCGAAGTTATGGGCTTCTGGAAAAGTAATACAGAGGGGATGTTGATTGACTTCTTGAGTGGCCCACTCTCTGAGAGTCTTTTCTGCGTCATCTCCACTCATGGTTGATTCTTTAGATTCGGTTTTTGAAGAGCCTATGGTTTCAGATTTAACTGAGGATGGTGGGGAGTAGGTTTTATAAGGGTTGTTTAAAGGAGATGATGGGAGTACTTTTGGAGAAGACGAAAAAGTTGGGTTTGGTTCGTTCCACAAGGGAGTGCCTTATGGTGTGATGATTTCTGGAGGTACTAAAGATGATGAACCAAAGAAATCAGCTGATTGTTTTCCCTTTGTTGCTTCTTTCTTCAGTTTCCTTGCAGTTCTTTCAAAGTTTGGATCAAAATCTAGAGGTATACTTGTACGAAAATTTATGGTCATAAAACCATTAGAAAGCACTGTGTCCCTTACAATGGCGTCAATTTGTTAATACGTTGCCGCGGGTGTATTAAACAAATAAAATATTAACTACTTTGTTGCACTAAAAATATAGAACAGGGAAGCAGTGTCGAATCCTCAGGGACACAGTCTAATGGTTAATGCCTTTTGCATCTGGCACATTCTAGTCAATAAAACAGAAATTATAAAATGGGGTTTTTGAATTACACTAAAAACTAAAAATTGTTGTGAAAATTAAACTAAATAAAACTCAATAACAAAAAACGGTTTCAGCTCTGGTGTGACTTTCCTAATCATGCAATCAGTTGAGATCTGGTTGTTCAAAATGTGTTATATCTAAGTTGGTACTGAGAAAAACTACAAGCTCTAGTGCAATCTCTTTTACCTAGTTAAATTAACCAAAAAAAAAGATCTTCAATTAACCTTAACTTTTTATTGTCTAATTAAATAAGCTCTTAATTAAGATCAGAATAGTTGCATTAAGTTCTGTGTACAATTCCTAGCAATATCCAATACTTCTCACAAGCTTGGAAGCATAAATGTATGATTTTTCAGTTTATATCAGAGTTAAATCTCAACACGGAACCAATCTGGTACTTGTTACTTTTACCGGTTGACAAGAAAAATTATGGATTCTATTAACTGATTAACTGGAATGATAAGAACCCTAGTTAGGTGATCAGACTAACAAGAATTAAAAATCAAACGTTCACTAAGCTCAAAATGGAAAACATCTAGATAGAAACACAAAACAAAAACCAGATCTGAAAATTAATCATATGAAAAGTACTAGTCTAATGCGGAACAGAAAACTAGGGTTTAGCCAGACATGGCTAAAAACAAACTAAAACTAGTAAAAAGAACATTAACCAAATAATCTTCTAAACTAAACGAATGGGATGATTCGTAGCCTTCAGATCTTCAGAAATTGTTGAAAGGTATCAGAAATCGTCTTTAGAAGGGTATTCTACCGTCTGGAATCGTTTCCTGCTCTAATCTGATGATAAGGGTCGTATTTATACTTAAGACAAAAGCTTCCGGAACAAGTTGGTGAAAATGCGATCGCAGATATCAGATATGCGATCGTAGATTTCAAGGTTTTTTCCAAATTTTCCCTAAATGACATACGAAGCTATTTTCAACGTTTTCAGAACTTCGGGACAAAAATGTGATCGCAGATATGGGTTATGCGATTGCATTTTTTTATTATTCTTCTCAGATGGCTTTCAGACAACTTATTTTGGCCCTAGAAAACTTCGTCCCATTTATGCGATCGTAGAAAAAAATGCAATCACTTATACGATCTCATTTCTGGCTTATGTGATCGTAGATTTGGCCTTTTTCACAAACACAAAAGTCGTCCGAAATTTTGTCTAGCTTCCGGAACATTTTGAATCTCTTTAATCGGAGTTACGAGTCATATGATATAGTCAAAATTTTGACAGGGCGTCAAAGATTCTAGCAACATCCTTTAGGCTTTAGATTGTAGCAATCTGTCTTCGTATGATCAATTCGATCGAATGTTTCATGACCAAAACATCTTCCAAGAATTCCTCATAATCCATCTTCAGTTCCAACTCTATTTAGGCTCCAAATATGCATCTAGTTGCTCCCAAAATACCGCTCCACTCGATTTATCTGAAAACAACACAAAAATGCTAGCAGTACGGGAATTCTGATAAAAGACATGATCTGAACATTATTTAAATAAATGACATGCAAATGTACATAATATGATGCTAAATGATAATAAAAACTACCCTAAAAGATGCATAAAATAGCATCTATCACTTACCGTGACTTATCTACATGTCAGCATCTCACGTTCGGGGGGGGGGGGGTGGGAAGGAGGATTTGATAGTGAGAATGCGATGGATAACGGATGTGGAGAGCGCCTTCTGTACGATTTTTTTCCCCAAGGAGGCAAAAGTTGATTTAGGTGGTAAAGATATGAATTTGATGTCTAATTGTAAGAAGAATGTGGGTAATGGCCAACTACTTCCTTGGTAGATATTATGCGTGCAATTGTTGATTTAGGTGGTAAAGATATGAATTTAATGTCTAATCATGAGAAGGTTAGTAATGGTCAACCACTTCCTTTTGGGTAGATATTACGTGTGCAATTATTGATTTAGGTGGTAAAGATATGAATTTGATGTCTAATTGTAAGAAGAATGGATAATGGACAACTAATTCCTTCTAGGATGGTATATGCTTAGGAAACGTGTCTTTTCTCTTTCATTTAGACTTTACTCCATAGAGTTGTGTCAGCAAATGAAGGTTGATGAGAAGTTGAGCTAGTCGTCAATTTTTCAGCATTTTCGGCGTATGCTGATGGGAGGGGCCAAGAGTGAGCAAGGAGATGCTCTTGGATTGTTGTTAGCCATGGTTATTTTGCATGTGATGCGAAATAAGTAGGTGTGGTCTTTGACAAGGCAAGGAGAATTTTCTATAGCTTATGCATGTGTTTTTATCAATGACGTTATGATTGGTGTCGGTTCGATCTCGATGTGGTGGGTTAGTTTTGTTCCTATTAAGGTTAATATTTTTGCTTGAAGACTTGTTTGTGACAGATTACTCACGAGGCTGAATTTGTCCATAAGGTGTATGGAGATTCCTTCTATTTTGTGGCATGTTTTTGATAAGGGCATGGAGTCGGTAAATTATCTTTTTTATCCTACTCGGTGTCCTCGAACCTGTTGGAGAGAGTTTGATGTTGGTAGGAGATACATGTTCATGTGCTTCTGTCTTATGGTGATCGACTCCAATGGTTTGAGGGTCTTCAACTTAGGAAGGGAGCCAAAGAGTTATTGGAGGGTGTTTTTTTTGTTATGTGATAGCCCATTTGATTGTTTAGGAACAAGCTCTTATTTGGTAAATAGGGGCCTAAGAAAGTTGTTCTTTTTTATAAGGCGTACTCTTGATGTGTTAATTGGTCTAAGATGATGATTAATTAGGTGGGTTAGTTTCAGAATTCTCTGATGGATATTTGTAACGTTTTTATGGATATTTTGTAACGTTTTTTTGTTGTTCTTGTACCCGATTGTCTTGCTTCTTTATAGCCTTTTTCCTTAACGATACCTTCTGACGTTCTAAAAAGTAGTGACGGGTTTGAAATTAGTAGTCATTTTTTGTGATTGATGATAAAAAGGAAGGTAGTGTATCACAATTACCAAGGTGGTGCATGGACACCGCTTGATAATGGGTCTCATTCCAAATTTTATTAAAATAACCCCTAAAAATCCCTCTATTGCTGAAACATCCCCTTTTGGTACCTTTTTTGCATATTATTTTTGTGAAAAGTATCCTCCATTAACCCGTTTATAAATAAAATAAATAACGTTTCGACTAATCAAGCAACCAAACAAGCAGTTGAAACAGCATCCTCGTTTTAAACTTCTACCAGGCTCAAGTTGAACAATTTCACTTATTGTATTTTGTAGTTTTGTACCCATGTATTGAATGAACTCATCCCTATCATATTTACACAGACTAAAAATCCTTCCAATACAACTCTCTCCACATTAACAAGCATTAACGATTAATCTAACCCAACAAGAATCCAGATAACCAAAAACCACAAAAAGAACTCATCCTTGCTATCTGCTTCCAGATCATAATCACAAAAACCTGCGCGGGTCTGAAGGGAAAGAAAGAAAGATCAATGTACTAATTTGAAGGAAAAAAAAAATTTTAAAAAAAAAAAAAAAAAAAAAAAAAAAAGATTTTCTTTTTAGTATTTTCTACCAAAAAATTCAAGATTGCATCCGCAAAGTATAGAGTCGACAAGTTCCTCGTTAAGCTTCACATTTAGTGGTGGCATCTGATTCATTACCTCTGGCATGTACTTTAACCTGCCATTATATATAAATTTTTTGATTTTTTAATTTTTTAAAAAAAAATAGGGAACAAATGATATATAACAACGATATCTCATATCTGCATACAACACTTAATAGGAAGAAAAAAAAAAACGAAACATGACACCTGTAATATGGATGTTTCTTTTGTTAGGTAAAATATGAAAGGTTGAAAACATGTGGCTATGCATGTGAAATAAAAGAATCAAATTCAAA